AGGTAACATTTTGCTTGAAAGCAAGTTGCATGAATTTTTCGATACGTATACATTATTAACTTACAAATTGAGATTAAATGTGAAAAGGTTAAAATATTCTACTATTTAGTTCGAAAATACAATTTTTGCTTTTAATAAAAAATAATCTTTAAAATCTTCAATTGATGCATGTTTATAATATATGTAATTCTATAAATTAAATTAACTTGTTATCATTTGTTTCAGGTTCTAATAAAGCATGTTATTTAACTTTGGCAACTGTGATCAGTAGCTGCATACAAAACACAGAACGTACATAGCTTCGGCATAGATTCTGATTAGAATCGCCTAAGCGCGCGACGCAATTCCATATTTTGATGAATGTATATAATTCAACTAATTATCATAGACCTATAATATTTAGGTATGTTATTTTAGACTACAAAATCTATCATTATACAAAATATCAATAAAACCGTAAAAAAATTAACATTCAATTACGAATGAACGGTTTATTAACCGATCTTTATCAAAAACTAATCAGCATGATTTCAAAGCAATTTCTTTCCAAACAGTTTTTGAATTTTTAAAATCTATTCATAATTGCGGGTTAAAACGTGGAAAAATGATTCATGACACTTATCAGCTAATTACAAAGAAATGGCTCGGCTGTTTGTCGCACAAAGCGATAGTCTTAATTGAGTTACACCAATGGCTTTCAAAATTTTGAAATGGATGCGGCTGTTTTGAGGAAACGTCGACGAAATATCAAAAATGTGAAGAGATTATTGGTTTTTAAAGAAGGTAAATCCAGCATTTTTTAAAAAATACATTTTTTTCAAAAAAAATTGAAAATTTCAAATCTTCAAAAATTTCAAAGTAATTAAAGTAAAAAAATATTTGATCATTGATCAATTTTAATTGCTTGATTGTTTAATTACTATACGGAAAGTTCCAGATATTTGCCTCAAGGCACTATGCCATGCTCCACTAGTTTTAAAATCTCTAGATGAAAGATGCTAATATACAGCCAATGTTCTCAAAAATCGCTCCTTGTCAAACACTTAATTTTTTTGTGAATTGTTGATTTCCTCTGATTCTGCTTCTTTGCCCGCATGTTATTGTCTGTAGTGTAGTAGGTCTGATACCCACCTAGACAGTCGGCGGTCGGTGGTCGGTGGTCGGATCGATTCCACGGTAGTGTCGGTGTCTCGCGCAATGAGCTACCACAGATAAAACAATGCTATGCGGCACTATTCGAGGGTTTTGTTTTGTTAATAGCAAATAATCTACAAAACAATACGATATAATCGAAATTATTAATATGGAAAAACTTACAGGCGCGGTTGGTGGAATATAACTCCACAAATTTTGATTGACACGTGAGGGAAATGGTGTGATGACAAAATAACGCTATGTAATTTTATTTTGAATAGAGAATTAGTCATTATTAAATTAAATTTATCCTACCCAAAAAATCTTACGCACACAATCAAGAGCCAATGATGAATCATTTGTGCCGTAACGCGCTTCCGTTGCATTTTTGCTGATTTACTTCCTAGTCGCGCCTAAAGAAGTTTTACTTATAAGCGCTTTAAAATTACTAATTTTGAATTTTTCACCAAAAACTGATCACCACTTCTATCCAACATTACAAATTGAATGTTTTCTGAATCATTCAAATCGCAAGGTATGTCCTCTTAAAAACTCAATTTATATTTTTCGCACTTTTGCTGGACCTATGCCAAACACTAATCATCACGTCTCTTCATCAGTAGGAATCAAATGTTTTTCGAATATTTTAAATCGTTTGATCCGTGCTCCCGAAATTGTGGACGAAAAATTGTATCCACACAAAACACATTCACAATCACATCCATTTTTTCTAAGGTATAGTAATTGTTCAAACATCAATAATTTTTTTCCCTATTTTCACCTTATGCTAAATATGCCAAACGATTACTATAACTTAAACTACAGGAATTTAAAAGAGTTCCAAATGAAATCCAAAAAAATTAAATATAGTTACTCTTTAAAACTTGTACAGCCCTGTTAAATAAGCTTTTACTCATACTACAGAAACTTCGTAAGAGCAGAGAAAATCGTAATAGCCAGCGATTTCATAACCCTCATACTCTGCACAATTTCGGAAATAATCAGTCAAGCTCAAACAGATCAAACGAGCTATTTGGAAATGCCCACCGTTTTAACCCATAGAATAGAAACATTTTGTCTGAGTCCCTCACACTCAAATATTGAAAGCTCAATAGTGTGAAAATACGGTAAACCCTTTGTTTTAATCCGATCGACATGAATTTATTGAATAACTGTCACAAATATCCATCTTTACCATATCCATAAACTTGTCATAAAAGTAAAATTTATAATAAAAATACTTAACTCATCTCCAAGATGATTTCCTAATATCCTAAAATTTAAAATTAGGTTTTCAATTTATCCACTATCAAATTATACTCTACAAAAAGACAAGTAATTTTTATTAATTAAGACTGAAATTCATAATCTAATAACAAGAAGTTCATAATCCCAATAAATGCATAATCTAATAAACAACGAGGAGTTCATAATCTCTATAAATGCAAAATTTAACGGCATTCATTAATATTGAACTTATATTGAAAGTGGAAGGATAATGTATAGATGGTAATTTTGCTTGACATGGGCTAATGCAAAGGGATATTGCAAACATTGACCCTACAAGTAATCCTATAATCTTCTCATTCTAGTCAATAAAGGTTAATCGTATTTACATAGAGAATTATCTTTGTTATAATATATTTATCAAATGTGGATTAGATCAAGTGCCATATTTATCGTGAAATATTAACTGACTGTTTTATAGTATTATCAATTATTTTATAAAATAAAATTAATATCAGTAATAATAAAATTTATGAAAATTAAAGTCTAATAACTGCGCATAACATTAATAAGAAAACACATAAATGTCTTTAAAAATATATTTGGAAATATATACGTTTCGGCTATAGACCTAGATTTCATTCAGTGGAAACTAAAAATTAAATTTAAAATCTAAAACAATTAAGCTTAGAAAATTATAAAAAGTACTACAATTTGCTAATCTTAGTATTAAGTACAAAAAAACAAATAATCTATCGTAAGAGGATATGGTGATGCAATATACTATGTAATATTTAAGTTAGAATATATAATTATACTAACACTAACATAAAATTATGACAAAGTGTGAAAAATTTGTGTTATTTGTAAATGAAGAGAGTATTAAAAAAAATATTTTTACCGAAATTCTAACATGTGTGAAACTAATTGTAAATTTTTTGCAACATTTTTCATTGCATTGTAACAAATTTGAAAATACTATGAAGATAAAGAATATCTGTGTTGAGTTCATTGCTTTTATTCATCGACCTATTGTTAAAATTAGCCGAAAAAGATTCCTCACAATTGCGTCTTTTATATAAATTTTCCTCAAAACGTACTATAGTCGGGTTAAAAAAATTTATAGTATGTTCTCAAATCCTAATGTGTTCTATAAGCATAGTTTTAAATTGTTTGGATTTTTTTTTGAATTGTCTGTAGTCAATAATATTGTAGTCTTCACTTTAAATTATGCCTTGTTTTCACAATATAAATTGAATTGCAATTTAGGCAATTAGTTTCATAGACCAGATATAGATAGGCAACTAGTGTCAGTAGTAAATTATTTTATTAAAAAAGATCAATCACAATTGCGTCTTTTATATAAATTTTCCTCAAAACGTACTACAGTCGGGTTAAAAAAAATGTATAGTATGTTCTCAAGCATAGTTATAAATTGTTTGGAATTTTTGTTTATAGTCAATATTGTTGTGGTCGTTTCATTCAAATTCTTATCTGGCTTGTTTCCCCAATATAAATTCAATTGCAATTTAGGCAATTAATTTCATAGACCAGATATAGATAGAAAACTAGTGTCAGTAGTTGTGCTAAAATTATTGTTTAGTCGTATATAAATTTTAATTTAAAATCTAAAACAATTGAGTTTGAATAATTATAAAAAGTAAAAAGTACTACAATTTGCTAGTCTCAGCTAAAACTAGTGTTTCATAAAATAGTTTTTTTAAAGTAAAATAAAATTCTTTAATTTATAGTAGGCATTTAGCGCCAGAAACAGTCTCTAAGTTTAAATTATTATGTTCTCTAAGTATAAATTATTATTATAATTATGTAAATTATTATGTTCAGTGGTTTGTAATTAGTTATGAAATTAATTAAAAGGATGAAATTTATTGGGTAAAAATTTTGAAATTAAGGGACTGATTCTGGGCTAAAAATAGAACAATGTTATGGCAAGACTATGTTAAGTAGTGTTTTGCGTATAAAATAGTACTAAAACTTTCAAAATGCTTCGCCTGTGCAATCAGGCGTTTCACACATAAAATGTAACTTCACTCGTATATTATTATGCCACTTCACAGAGATACTTTTTTTAAAGTTTTCTATCTAAACCGTCTGACAGTTTTTAGTACCACTTTATATGAAAATGCTACGTAACTTTAGTCTATATTACTGCAGAATCGACTCATAACTTAAAATTACTGTTTTAGAGATTAATACTTTTATAAAATGTGGCCCTCCTATCAATTAACCCGTTCTCCAATGAATCAGGGTGATCATTAATAAAGTGACCAAGTGCATTTAAATCATATCACGACCGAAGCTCGTGGTATGTTTTATTTTTCAACACAACTTTACATCATATTTGGATGTATGTATGTGCGTCTTGTAGAGTTTTAGATCATCACATTTATACGCGTTGCTTTACCAGAGTAAACAACGAGTGTTCGAAAGACCAAATGTGCTATCATTCTCATTTTATATGTGTACAAGTGCGATCGCATTGTAAACAAACTAATTGTAAGAGAAGTTATTGTATTTGTAAACATTGGTATAAACAACAATAGATTGAACTTTGCACAAAAATCAGATTCGATTTATTAGTTCTTTCAAATAAGTTCATGTGAACAGATGTAAAAATCATGTCGAGGAAAACTATATTAGGTAAGAGGAAAAGCACAACTTTATAGAGACAATAAAATATATAAAGTGTAAATATTATAATATGCATTAAAATTAAATATTAAAATACATCGATTGTGAGTTTTTGTGTATAAGGTAAATGAGTGGATAAAAGTGTTTAATTTAATTTTCTTAGCAGAAAACGATATTTGATACAGTAAACTAATCTAAAGAAAGTGAAATCAAAATATTATTATACTAAATATAATGTGTATCTACGACATACTCTACAAATATTTTCAAGAAATGTATATTAAATAATTAACCGTTTACCATGTACGTTTCGACACTATATGTGCGTCATCATTCAGCACGTTAAAAAAATTCAAACCAGAGAAAAAAATAACATATAATTTTTAGAGACCTTGTTTAATGAAAAAAACAAATCAATAAAATAAAATAATGAACTAAAAGTTAAATAATATATTTATATAGCAAGTCACATGATTAACCAATTATAAAGCAATTTTTTTATTTCATTTACAATTCGTTAATCATGTGGCTTAAGACACAAATTTATTATTTAACTTTTAGTACATTATTTTATCTTAATAGTTCGTTTTCCATAAAACAATGTCTTTAAATATAGTGTCCTGTGTTAACTTTTTAATAATATGAAAAATAATTCATTTTTTGTCACCTTATTCAAAACATTCAGAACTTATTTTTATGGAGTAGTCGCAAAATAAATATCGTAAAAATAAATTTGTTAACAAAATGTTTGTTTACATTATGAATGATTGAATTATAAACACCATATGATAAAAGCACGTGCGCAATTTATGAAAGCCACAAACGATATCAATTTGGACTTATATGTATATTTAATAATATTACCTAAAAATGAGCACAATATTAATGATATCCTTCAAAATTTTCACGTACAATTTTTCTTTAAAGGAAATTTCCCATTTTACTTGGAAAAAGAATGAATTTTCAAAGCAAAATGACAGTTGGCGGAATAATATAAACTACGAAAGACAAAGTAATTTTTTAAAAATATAACTTAGAAAATTCTTAAGTATTGGTTAAGGCTAAGGTTTTTTCATATTTTACTCGGAAGAAAGTTCTTTTTTCAAAGCAAAATGACGGTTGGCGAGATAATATTCACTATGAAAAAAAGTAATTTCTTGAAAATACAACTTCGAAAATTCTAAGATTAAAGTTAAGGTTATCAAAGTGCTGGACAATTTTGTCGAAATTAGCTGAATTTTTTTTCTCTAATTCCGATAATTATTTTTTCACTATAATCCAGTAATCCGAATATTCCATTAATCCGAAACGCTGTGGTTTTTAATATTGTCGAATTATGGAGATTCTACAGTAATTTAACAAGTAGTATGACAAAAATTATAATAAATTTATCTAACTAAAAGGATATTAAATGAGTAGGTACATCGACATTTTAAGAATTAATATTTGCTAAAATACCTAAATGTTTCGAAAAATGGAAATTATCATCACTATTATATGAAATCTATTTAATAAAAATTTGTTAAATTGTTTACAGTTTACATTTGTTCCTCCTTCAATTTTTTTGTAATATTCTTGATTTTTTTTAATTTCAATAAGTATTACAGTTGTTAAATTATTAAAATCAAGTAATATTGATAAATAATAACATAAATTTAAATAAATAAAAGTGCAAAAGATAAAATTTACATGAAAATAATATCCGTAATATGATATGATATAAAATATAAGCAAATAATAATAAAAATAAAATTAATAAATAATATAAATAAAATTTCTGAATAATAAAATAATACTAGAAAAATTATAAAATAGCAATCAGAACTTAAAGTACTTCTTAACTATTTTGCTTTTCGGTTAGCTTATCTCTATATGTTATATTTATTATTACAATTTCTCTAACACTGATACTTTGTAATATACAAAAGTTTAAAACAGACAATCCCAACTATTATGTTATCGAACATATGGTGAACCCTTAACTACCACAAAGGCCAAAGTATCTTATCACTAAATTGATAAAAGAAAGTGAATGAACTCCTCTTGCCCTTACATAATATTAAAACTGTTGGCGTAGGAAATTATATAATATAAAATATAAGAAATGTCGCTATAAAAAATTTAGGTTCTGAATATATTTTTTATAATAGCAATCAAGATACAAAGTATCGTATAAGCTATTGTTTTAATGAAAAAAGTATGTTAGAATAGATTTTACTTGATAAATATATTGATTAAATAAAATACTTCTAAACATGCCTCTATCCAGATAATGAAATAAAAAGTAAACTAAAATTTGTTTCTTAAAATAATTTTAATAGATCTTCGTTTCGAGTCCCAATTTGACTTGAAGATAGATAGTGAAGTTATGTTTTCATCGATCATGTTTTTATTTGTGTTTGTACCATATTAGCATGTGTCCTTTGTTCCATTGAGGAAGAGTCAAATTGGGACTCGAAATGTATGGGTTTAATAAAATTATTTTAAGAAATATATTTTAGTTTAGTTTCTATTTTATTATCAGGATGGATGGCTAATAAGAAGTATTTTGTTAATCAACATATCATCTAAAAAATATTACATATATACATATATATATATATATATATAAATTTTGTTTTTATATGACGTAATAATTATGATAGTGAAAGGTATCAAAGTTCAGTAAACAAATCACTTTAAAATACGTCAACGTTAATGATATGATTTTTGTTCCAGTTTCGAATCAGATATTCCGGAGTCACGCAGTTTATCAAATTATTACATGTTATAAAATTGCAAATTCATTCACAAGACTAATTACATAATTCTTATAAAATTAAAAAGAAAAAGAAATTTCAAAGATGTATCAAGGCTAGCTGAATTTCAAATTCATTTTAAAATATTTGCGAACAATGGTGTTTACGTAGAATTATTTATATACGGAAATGGTAATATTCATTACTAGTTCATTGACACTAATGCAAAATTGTTTTACACAAGATATTTTCTCGATATAAAAAATTGCTAGACACCATGTACAAAAATAAATAGAAAAGTTCTATAATAATAAGTTAAAACACATTTTTAAATTTTTTTTTCTACAGTTTTGCTTATTGTCCATTTCAAGGCAGGTGTAAAAATTCAATATAATAAAAAAAAACATGTTAAACATTTAATTCGAATCACCTATAGAGACAAACTGAAGAAGTAAAATTGCTATGTACGAGGTGTGTTCAAAAAGTACCCGGAATTACTAATAATTAAATTTCGCGGGTCTGGAGTGTCTGATTGTCAAAATTTTTTTTTTATTGTGTTGGTATACATGCCCCTAAAGTATGATGAAATTTTCAGCTATATTCACTGTTTACTTTGTCTGTGGTAGTCGCTAAGGTTCGACGTGTTTTTCTGAGCTCGGCGATTTTTACAATGGAAGAATTGAAAAAGTCAAAGAATTTGTATTAAATTTTGCGTAAAAAATGAAATAAAGTGTTGCAAAGTGCAAAAATTCACCAGATATGGCTCCGTGTGACTTTTTCCTATTCCCAAAGTTGAAGAGACCCATGAAAGGACGGCGGTTTTCCTCGATTGAAGAAAATCGCCGAGAGTGCTCAAGGACATATCAAAAAGTGAATATCAAGGGTGCTTCGAAAATTGGAAAAAAACGCTGGCATAAGTGTATTATATCTGGGGGGGACTACTTTGAAGGGGACCACATTAATGTAGACGAATAAATAAATATTTTTTTGAAAAAACGAAAATTACGAAAACTTTTTGAACAGACCTCGTATGTCATTTTATCAATGAATTGTTGATTAAAAGCTTCCTTGAACTTTAGGCAGAATAGATGCATTATAGGCCCATATTTAAAGATATTATCCATTTTTCGTGAAATTAAGAATGTAATAGATTACGAATTTTTACTATAAATATGAACTTTACTGAGACTCTATCATCATATAAGTATGCATATGATGATCTAATTCATAGACTCGTAGAGTCTCAGAAAAGTTCATATTTTTCGTAAGAATTCGTAGTCTATTACATTTTGCTATTTCACAAAAAATGGATACTATCTTCAAAAATGGATAATGTCAATCTTTGTTCAAAAATTCAGAAAATTGTACGTTTTGGAAGCCATGCTCGGTATTATAAAGTCTTCCACAAATAATATAAAAATTATAATATAATAAGCAATTAAATTAATTTTCAAAGAATTGCCTATGAAGAGGACTATGAGAATTACTATATTTATTAACTTCATTCCGCTTATAAAAAAAAATAAGCAGACCTACTATGAAGATACCCAAAGAATATAATATTGATCAGAAATTGTAGATACATCCAACGGCGTATCTAATAAGAAAATACTATTTATTCAAAATGCATAAAATTCTCCGACTTACTTTTTACAATTCCCTATAAATTTAAATCCACAAACATTATATTTCCTCATGTCCAAACGCTTCTTTGCCGATCGCCATCGTCAGGCCATTTAACCAGTTTTATTTAAATTGCAAATATCTGAAACGACATACAAGCTGCATACATAAATCAAAGTCCGTGCCCTTGTCTCCATAAATAATTCCACAATATGGGTTTCTTCGTGCAAAATCGTTTGTTTGTTTTATTTATTTCATATTTGTTTTCATTTTATCGAAGCGCTTGGAGCAAATTAATTTTGATACCTTCGGTGATACAACATTAGTCATATATTTCTAAAAAAAGTATTGAAGCAACGTTGGTTTTTGACAAGTGAAAAACGTTAATTCTAAGTGCTACCAGCAAAACAACAGAAAAATATTTGAATGGTTTTTTCTAGACCTTATTCGCTTAATTTAACATTAAAAATATTTATTTATTAGAGAAGATGTGGTCAAGTTTAAAGAGCAATCAAATATGGGGAGATCCGATAGGACGGTGAGAGCCCGTACTCTCAAACTATTAATTTTACAAAAGAAAATCGGTTATTGAAAGAATTATAGAAAAGAAAATATTTTAAAAAAAGTGTTTTTGGCGCCATTTTTTCAATATGGCAGCGACTTGGCGTAAAAATTTGAGGTGGCAAAGTTGAAATTTGTAAAGAGCACCTTGAAGTCTATAAGGTTACCAATTTTCAGAATACCCGGAGTACTGTACCGACAAAACGACCAAATTACTGGACTATATGAGTAAAAGTTTTAATAAAAATTATTTTTACTAGGATAAAATTATGTTTCGAAGATGCCAAAGAGTACTACTAATACAAATGCAGTAATGGCCCTCTAGCTTTGTCTTACGTAAAATAATAACTCACAATTAAGAGCAGTAACAGATACAAACGACCTGCATTGAGATAAATCTCATTCTCCTAAGTATTGTCGAAGCTCTTAATATAGAGATACTATATTTTTTTTATTTTATTGTAAAATTTATTCTTACTTCTAATATTTTATTGTTAATATTTGGATGGAAGTTTTGTATTCAAGAACATTCTGCTGCGCAATTTTCAAAAATCAAACATTTTCTTTCACAAATAAATAATAAATTGATATCAATACAGCACCAATACCAAATATATTTAAATTACATAAATTAAAAAAATAAAACAGTAAAATATACATATGAATATTTAAATATTTAAACAAAACGTATGAATAAAAAATAACAAATAAGCAAAATTTTCCTATAAAAACAAACAAAATCACCTGAATTCTGAGTCACATCAAAGTCCATATTTAAAAAACAAGTTATGGCCTGATATAATATAAACAAATTCTTATTCATTTTATTAAACAATAAAATGCGCATATGTAATTATTGGCTATTTCAAGACTCGTTTCATAAATTTACATATTAAACTGTTAAAAAATCATTAATTTTAACCTTTAGTAAAGTGCACGTTAGAAATGTATTATAGTGATTAGGATAGTGCAATTTTTAAGTACCTATTGCTTCTATATTTTTAGTCATCGATAGACAAAATATCAGGTTCAATAGAACTAAACAAATATGACCTTAAATAGTGTCCTCAACCAATTTAATTCATTTCATATCCAGATCAAACTAGACAGTGTAATTGGATGTGGAGACGATAATTGAAATAAATGGAAAAATAACATCTATATAGAGACGTAGAGTAGTAACTATCCCATTATTGGAATAATTATATGCCTTCATTTTTTGGCACTTTTTTACTACATGTTATGAATTTTAGTAGTAGTTTAATATATAAAAATACTTCTTTTATTTGCAGAAAATTCTAAAAGAATTCGACATATAAGAAAATATACCACTACTCCAGATCCTGAACTTCCACCATGTGATTTTACACCAAAGCCGTACAAAGTAAATCATTATACTATACACATTATACATAATTAAATCGAATGTAGAGTATAATAGTTTCATGATAAATTTAAATATATGAAATATTTTATTTTGTGACCAATATTTATTTATAAGTATTATTTATAATAGGGCCCTGACTATGACGCGGTACAAAATATAAGACAGGGCCGATTGGTGCCATGTATCACTTCGTATTACAAAAAGCCAGTATTAATACATCAAGGAAAAATGCAATGGTTATGGGATCATACAGGAAAAAGATATCTAGATATGTTTGGTGGAATTGTTACTGTCAGTGTTGGTCATTGTCATCCGTAAGTAAATAAAAGCTACTTGAAAACGTAATATTTTTGTATATCAGTTTTTATCGCAGGTACAAAAGCATTTTGTGACTCTATACGATGTTTAATTTATTAATACTTTATAACAACAATTGATAACTAAAACACCAATGTTTTTTAACTTCTCTTACTTCTTTAGAAATATTTAAATATTTTATAATCTGGAGAAAAAACATTAACGATTATTGTACTGTACTTAGTTATTGTAGAGCCTCATTTTGGTTGTTGTTCTTATCTATTTTGAAAAATATTTTCACAAACTGTTCATCTTTCGAAAATTTACTGATTTTTTATTGTCATATAATATTTATTTCCGAATTCAAAAATAAACAACCCTAATACTATATCATTTTGATTTAAAATTTAAGTAATATTTTGATAAGCAAATTACAAGTATTTATATAAAGATGGATGTGTGTATAATTTATCCTAATCATTAAAATTTATTTTTAGAAAAGTCAATGCAGCTTTGGCTGACCAAATGGATTCTCTATGGCACACCACAAATATTTATATGCACCCAAAAATACATGAATATGCCCAAAGATTGACTGATAAAATGCCAGGTGACCTCAAGGTAATAATGTATTGATACAATAATTATAAAAATAACGGTTGGAACAACTTTTGCTAAAAACTAATCAGCCTATCAATAGCAATCAAATACTTTTTGAATAATTCAAATCGGTTGAACGGTGCTCCCAAAAACGTCGACGAAAAATTGTATCCATACATACATACATACATACATCCTTTTTTGGAGGTATATGTTCAGAAACATCTGCCACGTGAAGACATGTAAAAATTTTCATTTTCGATTTTTGGACGATTACTATAACTTGCGTATGTGTGTGTGCATGTATGTATGCATGTGTGTGAGTTGTGCAGATACAAATTTTCGTCAACGATTGCGAGAACACGAGTAACCGATTTGAATAACTCAAAAAACATTTGATTCGTATTGATAAGAAAACGTGCTAATTAGTTTTTGGCAAAGGCAGGTCTAACCGTTCCGAAAATACGAGACAAAAAGTGCCAAAAATAGTAATTGATTTTTTGAGAGAACGGAGCGTTCGATTTGTATTATTTAAAATAACATTTTATTTGTATTGACGAAATGAAGAACTGAGGAAATTTTTGGGAAGGCAGTTCAGCGGTATCGAAGATGCAACCAAAATGATCATTATACATATTCACATAAAATTATCACGTATTTTATAGATATTTTGATAATAAGAAGAAATTTTGTATACATTGCTATGGGTTCCGTACCAATGTTTATTCGTTATACTGCGACGCGGCGCCCATGAGCTTTTGATATTTTGTTTTTAAGCAGTTAACGTATCGCAATTGCTTTGAAAAAAAGTTTCCAAAATATTTCAAAGTAAAAAAAATCAAATTTCTCAAAAAGGTCAATTCTTAACAAAAATTTTAAAAATCTCAAAAATCGATTTTTTTCAGTTTTAAAAGAAAATTGAATCTTTTTTAAACATGTTTTCACACTCTTTTTGTACCAGTCCTTTGTTTCGCACGGTAGTGTTTTGTAGTAGTCCAGTTTATAGTCTTCTTATCACACTGGTAACTTTAGTGTTATATGGAGTATATCTGTATTACAACTTTACTAATACTGATTAATACTCATATGACATTGACCAAGACTTTAACTAATGTTATTTCATTTTCTCAAAATAAATAATTATTTACCTTCTATTCTTCATATGTTTCCTATTTCTAGGTAGTTTATTTTGTAAATTCCGGCTCGGAGGCGACTGATCTCGCCATGATGATGGCCCGCCTGCACACCGGACACCACGACATTCTGTCCTTCCGGAATGCTTATCACGGCATGGGCACTGCAGCCATGGGAATAACAGCACACAGCACATGGCGGTATACAATTCCAGTATCACAAGCTGTACACCATGTAGGAAAATAACATCATTTCAATATTGTATTTTCATATAAAGTTACTTAATACTAACACTTCCATCGAAATTCATACAACCAACACAACTTTGTATAGGGTCCTGCCAAATAACTTTTTTTTTAGGGGGTACGACTTAAGCAACCCCACTGTGTACTCTGCACTCTTTACATTTCACTTTCAAATAAAAAAAGTGAAAATATTTAGTGGTTTTTAATAGAATTTCCAAACAAAAAGAAAATTGGCAAAATATTCAGTAGATTTTTTAAGGAATTTTTCAAAAAAAGCTAGTTGGCGGACTCTATACTAATAGTAAGGACAAATGCCATAATAGGTAATACACTTTGGGATACTAGTTTTTGGAAAACTAGTTCATAACTAAATAGTTTTTTATATCAGCACGTAACGCGTGCCTCCAAAGAAAACACTTCATACATCGTAGTAACCAACATTCTCCAAACGTTTTTAGTATGTACTTATGGACCAATCCTGCCGTATAACAGACCAATGTTAAGGCAAGGCTATATTATAGAGAAGTTTCCATACAAATTTGTTCTAAATATTGACAAAAGCCATGTGGTTGCTGTGCGGTCATGCGTTTTTCTGGTTGCTGTGCGGTCATGCGTTTTTCTCAGGTTGTCAGATAGAAACCGCACAAATGTCAAAAAAACGTTGTTAGATAACAGGGTCTTTCTGACACAGCTTCATAACATACGAGTGACGTTGCAGTTTATGTGTAAAACGCCTGCATGCACAGCAAATACATAACATTTTGAAAGTATTCAGTATGATTCAGTAGCATAATGTTGGAAGTTGGAAGTTGGAGCACAACATGACCTTGCCATAACATTTTTCTGTTATGCGGCAGAATGGGTCCCATTGTAAGGACAAAATGGTGTAAAAGGTAATACACACTTAGATACTAATTTTTGGGAAATAATTTTCTATATCAGCATGTAACGCGTAAGTACAAAAGGAACAATTCATACATCATAGTCACCAAAATTTTCCGGGCTCAGTAAGAAAAAAAAAGTTTTGCAATAAATCCTATTCTCTTCATTTTATTGATAGATTCTTTAGCACTTTTTCAGTAGAAGAGATAAAACAGTAGAAGATAAAAGCCAATCATGTTTCAATTTTTTTTCTTGGCCTCCAATAAGTCAGGCAGAAGAGTACTATACCATTTTGTCCATTTTATAAGTCCGAAAGTGAACAAATATGAATAAATTGATTGATTGATTGATTAAATATTGATGAAATTGATTATTGCAATGAAATTAATTGAAATTACTAGTACATACTGCCATAATAATAGTAATAATAAGTTCATTTACTTTAAAACAAATAATTACAAATAAATATAAATGCAAACACTTAAAATAAACTTCTGAGGCAATGACGCTCAACATCTGACAAGATTGTGATCATAGCTTATTGTAAATACATCCTGGTATATTAAAAATGACACCTTACATAAAGACCTAAAAATAAAAATTATTAATGAAATGATTAAAGAAAAGAGCAAAAAATACCACGAAAAACTACCAGGTCACCTAAACAAATATTAAAAAGAATTAAGCGAGGAATATCCCACTCGAAGATTGAAAAAAAAAATGACCATACGATCTTAAATAAAATGTCAAAAATAATAAAACGAGATATCTCATAGGAGATAATCTTAAATTCGTTTACACCTAGCATATTGTCTTAAAAAATTTGTCTCAATAAATCTATGCAAATAAGAGAAGCTTTTTTCATGTTAGCCGAAACTAGCTAACTCTCAAATAAGGAAAATTTTTTTTTAAAAAGTCAGTTTTTGGGTGGAATCAATCAATAATTCAATAAAGCCAAATTGCAACTGAATGGTTTTATGTGTTTTATTAGTTTATTGCTCATAAAAATAGATGACGCATAGTTTTAAACCTATAAAAGTATCATAAAAATATCATAATATTGTTATTGTATTTATTTTTGATATAAAATGTGCTTAAAAATTATTTACTAGGTAATGAATCCAGATCCCTATCAAGGAATTTGGGGTGGTGCAAATTGTAGAGATTCTCCAGTGCAAACAGACCGAAAATGTGATTGCGACATCGATCATTGTCGTGCTGGTGATCTCTATTATAAGCAGGTAATAATTTACTTATTAGTAATCAATTTTGCTGTAATTGCTGCATATTTAAGTACATTGGCCATAATAATTAATTTGCTTTAGTTAAAAGAAGTTTTCAAATACTCTTTACCAAGAGGACGAGTTGCTGCATTTTTTGCAGAATCCATACAAGGTGTCGGTGGAACCGTACAATATCCTAAAAAATATTTGAAGCGAGCTCATGCACTAGTCAAAGCTAATGGAGGATTGTATGTTGCAGATGAAGTACGTGAATAAATGTTTGCTAAAATAAAATAGTTAATTACTAGTCAATGTTTTTTTTTTTCAATTTTTAAATAGGTTCAAACTGGTTTCGGTCGTACCGGTACCCACTTTTGGGGTTTCGAAGGGCATGGAGTTCAACCGGACATCGTGACAATGGCTAAAGGTATCGGAAATGGTTTTCCTTTAGCAGCAGTTGTGACCACAAAAGAAATAGCTTCGTGCCTTACACAAGCTTTGCATTTTAATACGTATGGGGGCAATCCCTTGGCGTGCGCCACTGGACTGGCCGTTCTCGATGTAAGGAATTACAAATAATTTTTAATGTTTGAATCATACACCACATGTCAATGTAGTGTTGACAAATTCTCATATTAGCATGCTCTGATAGAAAACTCACAGTGAAACCAGTTGTTATTGGAAATAATAGAAACATTTCTTCTAAATATCGCTCTCTCATAGATAACTAGCAAACCCGACGAACTCCGTTTCGCCACCAGATGGTTTCGTGAGAAAGATGAAGAAATTTTTTGTTTTGTTTTATATTTGAAAAGGAAAAAATTGATTTCATTGCACAACAGTAATGAATTTATTTCGATTACAAAAATGAAGTATTTTTTAGTTGAACTTCTATAAGTAAATGAAAGTGAATCCGCAAATTATCCGTTTCATTGAAGTGCTCTTTAGTAAACCACATTTTTTGTTTTTTGGTCTGACGTTACCACAAACAAAGCGGATGATTTTCCAACTTGTGAACAGGCAACGTATAACTGCCCATGTGAAAAACAATGATTTTCTAAATAATCTATTTGAAATTTATCCCGCAAACACTAAGTGATTGGCCTTGCGACTTGTTAGTTGTCATTTCGAACGCAAGGCAAACTGGAAATTGCAATCGTTTGAAGTCAAACGGAAGACCAGTCGGAATAATTGGTATGTCACCAAATCGCCAGCAATTTTTGATTGAATGGTAAAATTCTGTGCGTGTACATCATTATTCTTTGCGGCAAGAATTGCTCGTTGACTTAACCAAGCACAATACTGATAATTCTTACTAATGTCATTACTCGAATTTTTAATTACGGTGCGTGAAGTTCCAGCAATTTGCATTAAGGCACGATGCCATACACCACTAATTTTGCTATAAACCTTGCGGAGCCCGAGACCTTTCCAATGAATGCAAAATTGTCGAAATCGGTTCGTGCGTTCTGAAGTTATTTCGTCAGGAAGGAAAACGCGACTTATTTTTATATATATGTAGATAACATTTATTTATTATTTTTTAGGTTCTGGAGGAAGAAAAACTTCAACAGAACGCTTTGGAAACTGGTACGTATCTGCTGGAAGGTCTGGCGGGTCTCAGGAATCGTTACAAATGCGTAGGCGATGTCAGAGGCAAAGGTCTCATGATAGGAGTCGAACTTGTTGATTGTGTAAAACGCCAGGCAAATGAAAATGCAATCAACTCAAATGCTGCAGAATCCTGTAATGGAAATGGTGGAGTGCCGGAATGCAAATCTGAATGTTTGAACGGTCGTAAAAGCCGAACCCCGATGTCTGCTCCACATTTCGTGGATATTTGGGAGCACTGCAAAGACATGGGGCTGCTGTTGGGACGAGGAGGCTTGAACGCTAATGTTCGTATGATTCATATAATATTTGATAATGATATCTCAAACTACTTGTAATATAATTTTGCCTTAAACTAGGCTGCACGAATTTTTCGATGCGGAACACGAAGGTCCAATTTGACTTTCATTAACTTCTAAACTGTAGTATCAAACAGTCAACTATCAAACTATGTTCAGTAAATTTCCAGTTAATTCCTGATCGTAACAGAATATTATTTTACATTTTTTTTTACAAATTTGTAATCTGTCCCTCGGTTTAAAAATGTTTGCCACCTATTTTAGTACAATAAGTACACAATTATTAATAATAATTCCATCTCCTCAGACAACCTATTTTTATTAAAACTATTTATTTTTCTCAGGTATTAAGAATAAAGCCACCAATGTGCATCACAAAAGCTGATGTTGACTTCACAGTAGCAGTTTTGGATAAGGCATTACGGGCACATGCTGTGAAAACTAAACGAAGTGCCAATCATTAATTAAATCGTATAATAGAAGAATAAAACTATAGCATATAAGGATCGTCTTGTATTTTTGTAACGACATATTTTTATACGTAAATAAAAAAATTAAATGAAAAACTTATTTATTCGAAAAAGAGGCTTGCAAAATTTTTATATTCAGTGGATGGAGGTTTGATACCTGCCTCGGACAAGCTGATGTTAAGCAGTAGTGACATAGTTTTTTTTTTTATTTTCATATATATTTGCACCTATTACATAAAAAAATATCAGCAATTTTTTTGATAGTCCTGTGACATAGGTTTTTGTTTGAAATTATAGATAAGGAATATGTTTCCAGGTGAAAATAGACCCTCCGCGGCATTGCATCAATAAAACATTCATCACTATTATAGAAATTGAGGCTAATAAAGTGTTACTAGAACATAGCTCTGTACGGATCAGAAACATGGACTCCAAGGCCGACAAAAACTACCTGAAGAGTTTTGAATTATGGTGTTGGAGACAAATGGAGAAGGTAAGATAGACAAATAAAATTACAAACAAAGGAGTGCTGAAAAAGAATAACTTTACTGACCAATATTAGTCCAGTCATTATAGTAAGTTCACCTAGGAATTCGAGATACCCAGCTGTAAGTCTGTAATTACACCATAAAAGTTGTCTCAAAACCTACATATGGTAGGATGTATGTACCATATCTCGGTTTTGAGACAACTTTTAGGGTGTATTTACAGATTTACAGCTGGGTATCTCAAATTCGAGATTCTTACCTAATATAAGCTTAAATAACTAGACTACATTGGACCAATTCTGCGAAAATTGTGCTTTCGTAAAGGCGTCGTCGAAGGTAAAATAGAAGGACTGGAAGGACTGGTATCAAGAAGAATGCAGATGATTGATGACCAACGCAAGAAGAAAAATACAGGGAACTGAAAGCCGAAGCACAGGACTAGGAAACAAGAAAGCAGAAATTTTCTAAGAAAAACCCATAAAAGTGTAAAAAACGTGGGAATGGAATGGTAATAGTATTAATATACAAAAGATAGGGAAGAGTATTATTGATTTTGTGATGCTCTCATACCATGGACCTGCCTGGACAGACAAATATTTATTATTATTATTATAGAAATTGTAAAAATAAATTTATTGCTTAGGGATAGTATAACTATTTAAGTTGCCATCTATAAAAACAACGTCATTAAAAGCAACTGCCCGTTTCGTTAGAAAAATTCTTCATTTTATTTATACAAGAATCGACTTTAAATATGTTTTTTAATTTCCCAAACAAGGGAATTTCTACTGAGCTAAAAAAAAGTGTTATTAAAATTATCAAATAATTGTGAGCGAATTCTACATAATAGATCTGCGAACATAAAGTAAAAATCGGTCAAATATTATATTTTGATTTTAATAATAATTATACATTATGTTTAGGTTTTGTACTAAGATTTTTGATGTTTTAAAGTTCACTTATATAGTTCAAACAAATTTCTTTATCATTTTCGACACTATGGATCGACCGACTTGATTGGGTTTCAATTTTTTCGAAATATTACAATATTTTCAAAAAAGTCGATTCAATAAAATTTATATTATCAACAAAAATTCAATTTTTTACAAATAGACGATTTTTTCAAACATTTCAAATTTTTCGAAATTTTCAAAAGTTGTAATATTTTCAAAAAATTAAAAAAACGCAAAGAAAACTATTTTTGCAAATTTTAAATTGCTGTATGAAAAGTTCCAGCAATTTGCTTTAGCTACGATGCCATACACCAAACGCAAAAAAATCGAAAATTTTTAAATATCTTTACGTTTCAAAGGTTTCTAAATATTTTAGCATACCTTAGAAAAAATGGATTTATGTGTGTGGGTGTGTGTGTGTGCTGATACAAATTTTCGTCGGCGATTTCGGGAACATCGATCAACCGATTTGGATGATTCAAAAAACATTCGATTTATATTGATAAGGAGACGTGCTAATAAGTTTTTGGCGAAGTCAGGTCTGGCCGTTCCGAAGATACGGGGCAAAAAGTGCCAAAAAATGGTAACTCATTTTTTAAGAGAATCGAGCGTCCAATTTCAATCATTCAAAAAACATTTTACTTGTATTGATAAGATGAAGAACTGATTAAACTTTTGGGAAGCCAGGTCTAGCGGTTTCGGAGATCTAGTAAAAAAAAAAAAATCTAATTGGCGGTCAAAAATCATCATTAGACAAAGGGACATCATTCAAAAGGATTGTATTAAGAATTTTAAATTGTATGTACATCATACGTTGTATGAATTTGACATTAGTAATCAAAAAAATTTTGAACAATATTTTTAAATATTAACGTTCAAAATACAAAATATTTTTAATAACAATCTTTAACATCTGTCAACACTACTAAGAAATTTATCAATCAACGATCTAATCTGGCAATACAGTTTTCTATTTGTATTTGAATAACATGGCGTACTATGGCTTTTGTAAAATACATTTATGTCAATAAGCTAACATTGTGATGATTAAAATGTTTTAGATATTGTTTTAAAACTTCAAACCTGTTAAAATAATTCCTAAAATGATAATACAAGATCCTGTACAGGTAGAATGTGGTTTTGTGAAAAAATATTTATGATTCATCATCAAAACGTCAAACTAATATATTTGTTTGCACATATATTTTGACATATAACTTAATGTGTAATAATAATCATTATTGCGTGCATAAAAACTATTGTTATAAATATCTTACTATTAAAGCTGAATCCAAAAATATATTTCTCACTAAAAAGCAAATTTTTGTAAGTTCTTAAATTAAAAAAAATAATAAGTTCCTTCTCTCTGCAGGCTGCTATTTGGCGTTGTTTAAATCACTATGCCTATCAGGATGCCACTTTCTTAGCTGAAAGATTACATGCTGAATGTAATTAATATAGTTATTCTTTTTATTATATTAACAGGGTGCCCTAATTAATTTTTTGTTTCAGTAATCAGTGATGAAAGTTTGTTTCTGCTAGCGACATGCTATTATCGATCAGGGCTTATTCAACAAGCCTTCTGGTTATTGCAGAAACATCAAAGCAAATCTCCACAATGTCGTTACCTGTTGGCAAAATGCGCCATGGATTTGGAAAAGTAATTATTAGATTGAGATTCGGAAACTATTAAAAACCAATTTAATAAATTACTTATGAATACTATTTTTATTCTAGATTGAGCGAAGCAGAAGGTGCTCTATGTCCATCAGAAAATGTGACAAAATGGAACTTGGATGATGTAGTTAATGATTTTGGTGATCAAGCATGTTTTTCTCTACAACTATTAGGAAAAATATATGGACAAACAGAACAGTTAACAAAATCATTTGAAGCAAATCGAAAGGCTTTACAATTATGTCCCTTTCTTTGGAATTCTTTTACAGAATTGTGCAATAAAGGTGATAAACCAGATCCGAATCAAATTTTTCAAATAACATCTGATACTGTGTATAATGGAATGAACTATAATATTCATAATGTGACAGATAAAAATGTAGATATAAATGTACAAAGTGCATGTGTAACACCCATGGATTATTCAACACCAATTATGAACCCAGTAACACCAAATGTAAATGGCCCTCATATTAATAGAATAATTGCGGAAGAGAGTCCGTTTAGTATATGTGGTCAAAATATTAGTTGTATATCTGGAATAACCAATTTACAAGCACTCCCTAAACAATTACAATTTAATATAATGAATTCATCAGGAGTAAGTAGTCCTGCTACTCCAAATTTTGGCTTTTTGCCACTGGAAAGTCCACAATTATCATTTGTCCAAACAACTCCCGTACAATCAGCAGCTCTAACAGAAGCAAATGATCAGAAAAGTAGTAAAAAACAAACCTTAAGCAGCCTAAGAGCACAAATGGGTTTACTAATTAGTCGAAAAGATTCACCTGTAGCAGTCTCAAAGCCTCCTGTATTCAGCCAGAGTGGTAATGTTAGCAACACGACACCACAAACCACAGTTCCTGGATCTAACATACATTCAGCACAAGTTAGGAGGAGCTCTAGACTTTTTACAAATAATTACTCAGTTAAAGAAAATAATAAATCTCCAAATAGAAATAAATTTGCCACCCCAAAATCTCCTAGAAAACCAAAGCAACGTTTAACAAAGACTAATTTAGGTAAAACAAATTACGAAATAACTGAAAAAACAGTAGATAAAGAAAAAGTAGAAACTATAACGTCTGATCAAAAAGTTTTGCTGAATAATAGTATAAACTCTGCACAAACATCAGCGCAGCAACTTCTAGTTTTGCAAAAACAAAGTGTTGATGGACTCATGTTTCTTTTAAGACAGTTAGGTCAAGCTTATTTATGTTTAACCCAATTTCGTTGTCAAAGAGCTGTTGATGTTTTACTTGAAATTCCTCAAAAGCATTTCAATACAGGTTGGGTTTTAACAACATTGGGCATGGCGCATATGGAAATGACTGATTATGAAGCAGCCATCAAGTATTTCGAACAGGCTCATGAATTAGAACCTTTTAGATTGGAGCGAATGGACATGTACAGCACAGCGCTTTGGCATTTGCAAAAAGAAATTGTGTTATCAGCTCTTGCCCAAGATTTAATGACTCAAGATAAGACTTCGCCTATTTCTTTACTTGTTAGCGGTAATTGTTTTTCCTTGCATAAGGAGCATGATACAGCTATTAAGTTTTTTGAACGAGCTGTACAGGTGGATCCAAAATATGTTTATGCCTATACATTATTAGGGCATGAATTAGTGAACACTGAAGAACTCGATAAAGCTATGAGTTGTTTCAGAAATGCTATACGCTTAAATTCTAGGCATTACAATGCATGGTTTGGAATTGGTACAATATATTCTAAGCAAGAGCGATTCCAATTGGCCGAAATCCATTACAAACGTGCTCTTTTGATTAATAGGCAAAGTTCAGTTCTTATGTGCCACATTGGTGTAGTTCAGCACGCACTTGGTAAAACGGACAAAGCTTTACAAACTCTTAATCAAGCCATAGAGCTGAACCCTAAAAATCCATTAAGCAAATTCCACAGAGGCTCTATATACTTCTCAATTGGCAGAAACCAAGAAGCTTTGAAAGAATTAGAAGAGTTAAAAGAAATGGCTCCTAAAGAATCTTTAGTATATTATTTAATAGGCAAAGTTCACAAAAAAATGGGAAATGTTCATTTAGCTCTTATGCACTTTAGTTGGGCCACTGATTTGGATCCTAAGGGTGCTAACAATCAAATAAAGGAGGCTTTTGATCCAAATGTAAGTGGGACTGCTGAAGACGAAAGTAATACAAGTAACGATGCAAATGTCACACCAGAAGACCAAACAATAGACATGCAACGATTGCGTCATATACAAGTGCGTTTATTTAGTGATGAGCCAGAGCCAGAATTGAGTGATGTTGAGGTCAATTATTGATAAATGTGTTAATCGTGTGAGGTCTAGAATATATATTTCTTAAGCATATTATATCTGTAAGGATTTTTTTTCTGTAGAAAATTGACTCAAAATTAATTTTAAAGAAAACTATTTATTAACAATAATAGTGGTTGGAGAAACTATATAATTTTTAAACATTTATATGTATGGATTTAATATATATGTATATAATTTTTTATATCCGTTTTTTTTGTTTTTGTCTATTGTTTATATTGTGAATATGTTTTTTGTAAATGTTAATTGTATAGTTTTAAGACGAATTGTTTTTATATTGTACACAAACTTTCAGATTGATCTTACCAATCAGTTGTGAAAGGAATTGTCTCTACCAAAGAGTCACAAATAAATAAAATGTATAAGCAGACCGACATTTGTGGGCTTTGTAGTTATTAATTTATGTTAATATTATGATAAGCATAATAAAATTAAAGACTACACACATCGCAATTATATAAATAATTTTAAATATTATATTGAAGGCTTGATGCAAAAATAAATTATATAGTAGTGGAAATAATATGTTCAAAAGTATGAATAAAAAAGTGTAATTTGCTGTTTATTTTTTAATGTCTATTGTTGGTCAACCCTGTTGTGGGTTATTTATAAACAATTGTTATCCAACAGAATTAATTTTATCAAATGTACTGCTGTTAAAATAAATAAAAGCATTCTTATGGAATATTTGATAGTACCAACAATATCTACTTGGCACAGAAATTGATACTGTTTTTTAAAATACTTTGTGAACTGCAAATAATAAAGGGAATATTAAGATGTCTTATTTATTATTTGCCAATTTTTTACCCAAAATAAACTAAAGGGATTTTTTAAAATAAATTTCTCTATCCTAAACTAACGATTGTAACTTGCAGTTAGTTAAACAAAAATTAAAAAGTTTTTCCGCGAGTTCGTTAAACATTTTTCATTATTTTTGTGATATCTGAAACCTACGATATAAAAATTTACCGCTTCTCACAAAAATAAAGGATCAGTTCCTTTTCCACAAAAAATCAATCAGATTAAAAAAAGATCTCATACTGAAGAAGTTCCAACAATTTTATATTTAAATTAATTTTATTAACTTCCCGAAGAAGAATAAAATCCGAGTTGCTAATTTTACGTTCTCCTGAAGTTTCAAGTCATTCTGAATCGTTTGAGAAAGAAAATGGAAAAACCATTGGCATTTTCTTTCTAAGGCAATGTACGTGTATTGGCCCAAGAACCCAAATTTGATCTTTTGTCATTTGAAACTCAAAAATTATCGACTAAACAAGTAAGTCCTTGGACTAATGTCGATTAGTTTTTGTAATAATGCATAAAATATAATATGTATAATTATAATCGACTGTTTGCGATTTAAATTATTTCTGATAAGAAAAATATCTAACTGTAATGATTGTGAAAGTTAGGATGTGGTGAGTGAAAAAGTTAGTAAAAAAGCCAATCTAATCTGAAATTGATTACATTTAAATTGTATTGAACATATGTAGGTATAACAAATATTCGAGGGTATAACTAAAATTATATGAAATATATTATTTGTCACTTTTTACCGTATCTTCGAAACGGCTGCCGAAGAGTATTAAGTAGCACGTTTCCCGAATAAAAATTCAAATTAAACAAAAAAAAAATCGATATATAAAAAAGTATTTCAATTTTTTTTAATAGTTAAATTATTTCAAATATTTTATTATTCGTATTTTATAGACAAAATGTGAGAGCTTATGAATTAAGACGACCATTAATCTAGAAAATAATTATTTATGTTTAATAAAATATATATAAACAAAATCCAAGCTCCTTCTCATAAATAAAGGACCTCATCTCATATTTCATTATATGTATTGAAATTATCTCATACTTATATAAATTATATATAGAATGTAAAGTTAAAATTATTTATTGGAAGAATATGTGAAAATAAGTGAGCTTCAGAATTCCTAAAATTAAAAATTTTGAATACTTTAGAATAATTTAAATTTTTCTTTTCTAATTTGAAACTTGATTTTTGAATATTTTGAAATCGCTAGACCTGCCTTCCTCAAAAACTAATTATTATCTTCACACTGTCAACACAAGCAAAATGATTTTTGAACAATTGGAATCGGATGATCCGCTCCCTTAAAAATTGCTATTTTTGCATGGCCAAACATACACATTAGACTTGCACCGAATATTCGGTTTCTATTCGGTATTCGGCATATTCGGCACCTTTTTTGATATTCGGCCGAATGCTGAATAGCATCTTACTATTCGGCCGAATACCGAATAGTTAAAATCAAAGGACCCGCCGCCGCCGCCGCTCAGCGAAAGTATTGTGTGTGTTTTATCTTTTATGCGATAAAAAGCTTGGCCATGGATCTGTATATATATTTTGAAGTCTTTAGTTTACATAATATGATATGAAGAAATAAATCCATTATTATATTTTGTATTTATAATAATTTAAGCTTTATCGACTTTGGAGATTATAAATGAATATGTGAAGAACTTTTTACTCAATATTAAAAGGACACGTTATTGTTATATGTTTATGTTATTTTAAAAAAACATTCAACGGTTACACGCATGTGTTGTATATCTATATTCAATATATTTATAAAGCATTATGAAACCCATCAATATACTCAGTCTAAGCATCTCTAAATAAAGAGATATCATAGGCTGTATATCGCAAAAAGACAAATAATATTTTTGGTCAGTTTTTATTTACTTTTTTAAGAAATAATATTGTGTTTATAAAAAAAAAACAAATGTTTTTGAATCAAATAGTAATTGGACATACATTTATATATATGTAAAGAATTGCCTTTTGATTTTTTTCCTAATTATGCACATTATTTAAGTATTCGGCCGAATAGTATAAATAGTGTCAAATTTTCCAAATAAGAAGGAGTACCCAAATAGTAATTGCAAGCCAAGAGATAAAAATTCAATATACATATAGTACGTTTGTAATATAACAACTGCAATTAATAAATACATTAACACGAACGAATTTAGGCGTTGCCAAACTTGCCGAATATTCGGAATTCGGTTTCTGGAGCATGTCGAATGTTCGGTATTCGGGCATATTGCCAAATATACTTTTTGCTGCAAGCCGAATACACATGCATTTTTTAAGGAATGCTAAAATTTTCAGGATCTTTTGCAACGTAAAGATAAATAAAAATGTTAATTTTCGATTATTTTGCGATTACTATAACATACTCTGCGAGAAGTTAATAATCGGGAGATCTGATCTATGAATGCAACAAGTTCAAAAAGTCTGTGAATAAAATAATAACTTTGCCATGAATTAGTATAATGTTTGATCGCAACAAGTGTTTTATTTTCATATTAAGAAAATAAAATTTAATACAAAATAGATAATATTGTTTCGGAGAAATACCGCATTATGGCAATAATATATTACAACGTGTACTATTGGCCGACCCTGGGGCTAGATAATAATGTTTTCGTAGTGCTTACCACAAGCTTACAACGACAACTAGATAACGATGTAAATAAATAGCTGATGAGTTAATTGAAAGCAAAATACGTGTTCTGTTGAAAACAACAACTAGAAACATAAAAAATATAGTTATTTTCATACCATAATTATGGCGGAAACAGTTGAAACAGGTATGAATATTTATTTTTCATTTATATCATATTTTTATAGATACATATACTATATACTTACATAAGTGCCGGTCATGTATGCGATACTTTGAAGATATTAACAAAATAATTCATTTAAATCAGTGATTCCCAAAGTTGAAAATGTGAACCCTCAAGGGTCCATATGACCGCGAAAAAGAATTTGAAGGAACACGAATTGAGAATTAAAAACATAGTAGTGGTCGACCACTACTTATTATCTTTTTATTATTATTATTTCATTAATTCTTAGAAATATGAGATTAAACCACCTTATGAATTCATCCTAGTTGGATGAATACATATATATTTATATAGATACATATATATTTAACTTCCTGTAGGGCAAGTTATAGTAATCGCAAAAAAAATCGAAAATGAAAATTTCTATAGATCTCTACGTTTCAGAGGTTTCTGAACATTTTGGCATACCTTAAAAAAAATGGATGTATGTGTGTGTGTGTGCGTGTATGTATGTATGTTCGGATACAAATTTTCGTCGACGATTTCGGGAACACGAATTAACCGATTTGAATAATTCAAAAAAACATTCGATGCGTATTGATAAGGAGACGTGCTGATTAGTTTTTGGCAAAGGCAGGTCTAGCCGTTCCGAAGATACGGGGCAAAAAGTGCCGAAAACGGTAACTCAGTTTTTAAGAGAACGGAGAATTCGAAAAACATTTTATTTGTATTGACTAAATGAAGAACTATTCAAATTTTTGGAAAGGCAGGTCCAACGACTTTGGAGATATGAAGGAAAAAGTAAAAAAAATGAGCCATTTGGCGGTGAAAAATGAACATTAGACATATGCACATCAGATATTTTATAGATATTTTAATTTGATATCAGAAATTATCAGATATTTTATAGATATTTTAACAATAAGTATAAATTTTGTTTACATTCCTATGGGTTCCGTACCAATGTTTACGCGTTAGACGGCGACACGGCGCTTACGCCCTTTGATATTTCGTCTTTATGCAGTTAAAGCAGTACGATTGCTTTGAATTAAAGTTCAGAATTTCCAAAATATTTCAAAATAAATGATTTAAGATAGAATGATTTAATATGGTTCGAAAGTCTATTAAAAGTTTCAAATCATTGATCAACTTTTATTGATTATTATTGATTATTTTTAATTACTCGAATTTTGAATTGCGGTACGGGAAGTTCCAACAATTTGGCACGATGCCCTAATTGCCTTAAGACAGAATTCCACTTACAGTTAGTTATTGTTTACATTTTATACAATGCTATCTGTTTGTACACTTATAAGCATAAGTGCATTTTAGGCCCATAAAATATGAATTGTGCAATTCACAGTATATATTTATAATAATCTAGTTAAAAATGCACAAAATAAGTGTAAATCTGGCGCAAAATTCTTGCTCGCCTTACCAGAAAACGTGACAGAAATCCTGTATAAAGAAATACTGGCGTCGCGTCGCCGGGCTTAAGTTAGGTTTTAAACCAATAAGGGTTTGACATCCCTGGTATGAATTCCGTTTCCAAATAACGAAGTTTATGTAAATTCAAAAAAAAATAAAAAAAATATAAAATTGAAAAAAATAAAAAAAATAAAAAGAAAAAAAAAGAAATTAAAAAAAAAATAAAATAAATGAAACCCTGCCAAACCTTAGCATTTTATTAAACAATTCAATAAGAAACTAGCTGTAAGTGGAATTCTGTCTTAAGGCAATTAAGGCATTTTTTGAAAACAAATTTTTTTTGAAAAGAAAAATGTTTTCTTCATTTTGACATATTTTGGAAATTCTGAAGGTTTTTTCAAAGCAATCGTACTGCTTTCACTGCATAAAGATGAAATATCAAAGCGCGTAAGCGCCGCATCGGCGTTTAACGCGTAAACATTGGTACGGAACCCATGGGAATGTAAACAAAATTTATACTTATTGTATAAATTCTATCTCTATAAAATATCTGATAATTTGATGTGCATATAATGATCATTTTTGACCGCCAAATGGCTCATTTTTTTACTTTTTCCACCATATCTCCAAAGTCGTTGGATCTGCCTTTCCAAAATTTTGAATTGTTCTTCATTTAGTCAATACAAATAAAATGTTTTTTGAATTATTTAAATCGGACGCTCCGTTCTCTTAAAAACTGAGTTACCGTTTTCGGCACTTTTTGCCCCGTATCTTCGGAACGGCTAAACTACCTTTACCTAAAACTAATCAGCACGTCTCCTTATCAATACGAATCAAATGTTTTTTAAATTATTCAAATCGGTTAATTCGTGTTCCCGAAATCGTCGACGAAAATTTGTATCCGCACATACATACACACACATACACAAACACACACACACACACACACACACACATACACACACACATACATCCATTTTTTCTAAGGTATGCCAAAATGTTCAAAAACCTTTGAAACGTAAAGATATATAAAAATTTTCATTTTCGATTTTTTTGCGATTACTATAACTTGCCCTATGGAAAGTTAATAAAATTATATAAATAATTCGGATTGAAATGTTTTATATACAAAATAAAATTTACGCGTATTATATTATATTCAACACTTGACTTACTAAAAAATATATACAATTTTTCAGCTGCATAATAATAATAATGAACTATCAATTTTAAAGATTTAAAAAGGTGCTATAAACTGTCTGCGCCAAATATTAAAGAAATGATAAAGGATATTTATTATAGAAACAGCATTTTGTATTTTGTAAAAGTAAAATAAGTCAACTAACATAAAACCAGGGCCTTGTACCGCATGGGGTACCGGAGATGTCAAATATTTGCAAATATCTGACATCTCCGGTATGAATTCCGTTGTCAACAAAACCTCGCAAACCTTTGCATTTCATTTGGCTCATTGTACAATTATACGGAGATTTGCAAATAGTCCTATATGAAATCTTTCAAATACATAAAATAATCACAATACCTTTTGAATCTTTCAGTTTTGGGTCCTGTGTCCCCCGAGTCCTTAGGCCGGACACTGACTCACGAACACTTTGCACTTGATTTTAATAAATTTTACACACCACCACCTAATCACTTGGCCGACAAGTTTATTGATGATATAACACTTGGAAATGTCGGATATTTAAAACAATATCCCTACAGCAGCAAATACAATCTGACGTTTTATGATCAACAGACGTTGAACGCCGTTTGTAGCGACATCAAAAACTACAAAAAACATGGAGGAGGTAGGAGAAACACATTGTCTACAAATGTTTTGAAATGATCCTAGACAATATAATAATGGAAATGATTATGCAATGAATGGTTATTTACAGGTGCTATTGTGGAAAATACTTCTATAGGATTAAATAGAAATTTAGGATTCATGAAAGAAGTATCCTTAAACACTGGAGTACATGTGGTGGCAGGTACTGGTTACTATGTATCAGCTGTACAAACCCAGAGTACTTTGGAACTGTCTAAGGAAAACATGTATGATCAGATTTTATCTGATTTAACAACTGGCGAATCTGGTGTCAAATGTGGATTTATTGGAGAAGTTGGAAGCTCATGGCCAATTGACGGTTCATAATACTCCTTTGTATATTAATCTTGTTAACACATGTATTTTTTAATTACTATTTCCTTTAGATTTTGAAAAGAGATCAATTGAGGCAACAGCTTTGGCTCAAGAATCTATGCACTGTGCTGTTAGTTTTCATCCAGGTCGAAATCGAGAAGCACCATTTGAAATCATGAGAATTTTTATGGAAGCTGGTGGAAATGCTCATAAAACCATTATGTCGCATTTAGACCGTAATCATAACAAATACACCATAAAACATAATGAAATTAAATATTGACTTTCTATAATTCTACAGGTACTTTACTAAATACAGAAGATCTCATACAATTTAGCGATTTGGGATGCTATTGCCAGTTTGATTTATTTGGTACGGAGTGTTCGTTCTATCAATTAGCACCAATGTGTGACATGCCTTCTGATGCTCAAAGAGTTGACAAAATATTGAAATTGATAGAACACGGGAAGACTGACAAAATACTAATGTCACACGATGTTCATACTAAACACAGACTGGTATGTAAAAATTAAAAACTGAATGTCTAGCTTTATAAATAACCATAAATCCGATATAATAAATACATTCACATGCCATTAATTTGTTCCAGCACTGTGGTTTTAATAAAAATTAAAAATTAAGATACTGTTTATTAATTTAATTGTTTTTTTTATTCTAACTCCCATGCTTGAATTTTCAGTCACTTTTATACACAAAACTTTAGAGCTCAGTAAGCTGCTCATAAATGATTGTAAGACCTTCAGCTTGCTATAATTGACGAAAATTTTTCATATTTTCATTTTACCATTAACATTTTTCTACAAAACTTACTTGCTCAAAGCTTATCTTCAATTTTGCTCGTATCTCGAAGCAACGAATTGCTCTTGGCAGCTCTTCTCACTGTTCTTATCACCACTGCTCTTATTTCTTTTTGCAGGAAGACTTCGGTGGTCATGGATACAGCCACATCATGAACAATGTTTATCCTAAAATGCTAATTAAGGAATCAGTCAAGAAATCATAGACCAAATAACTATAACGAATCCCCATACT